ACATATATACATATATACATATATATATATATATAATATATATATATATATAATATATAATATTTATATATATATATTATATATATTATATATATACTATATTTATATTTATATATACATTTTTCTTTTTTTTAACTCTTGTAGTCGGAATATCCGTAGTCCACTTCACTTACACTGACGGACTACAACAGCCTCCCTACATTATACTATGCGGAGTGCTTATCTTTTGTAGAGTTCAGTGTTTCTCCCTCTACTTGAGACAGCTGTATCTTTAGCTGGTTGTAGCCGGGGTGTTGCAACTGTCTCCCAAAGCATGTTGCCATCCCTTGACAGTATGAATATTGAAACAAATATAAGATAGAAACAGATAATACTATATGAAATTTTGATAATGTTTACCGCAGCTGAAGTACTTCGTATATCTTACGTAAGGACCCCACCCTGTTCGCCTTTAAACCTGTCTCTGCCCTCAGCACTCATTTCAGTGTGTCGGCGCAGGGACGCGAGAGAGTCGCGACATGACCAAATTTGAGTCGAACACCGCAGGAGGATTAACTCGGCCATATCAGTGGCGACTCGCTCTGCACCAGTCACGTCGCACCTTGTCCCCTGCCTTGGCATAGCAAGCGACAATTCATAATGATAATGCCTCGGAGGTGAGACCCTTTTAGAAATCAACGGCAAAAAAATATATATATGTGTGTCTTCAGTGTGGTTCCTCCTCCTGGCGCAGACTGCTTCCAGGACTCTCCACTAAGTTGTCAGCAGGTGAGAGGAGAGTCAGCATTGTCAGCGTGAGACATCCTTTATCTCGTCTCGTGTCTGCATACAGGTAAGCCTTGTCATACGTAAAGTAATAAATGGACTATACTTTTGTGAAGGATGGTGTATTATTTCTGAGCATTTTACCGATTCCGTCAATTCAAAAAAAGTTCATTCCATGGGGACGTAGCGGCCACGTTCGTAGAGAAACATGTTGACTAAGCCTCGAGTTCATGCGGTAGGTGGCCAGGTCCTTATATGATATAAGTATATGAATGGGAAAACACTCTACCGTGTTGATACTATGGTGGAAAATCCCACAATGCACAAACTAGGATTATTGAAGAAAGTGAGACAACAGTTTCGGAATAGTCCTCGATTCCATCTTGGGGTCTGTATATGTATATGTATACTCGCACACACACACACACACACACACACACACACACACACACACATATATATATATATATAATATATATATATATATATATATATATATATATATATAGTGTATTCTATTAAATTTATCTCTTACCTGTGACTCTGCTATATAGATTTCGATCATAAATGCTGCTTGTATTACAGGGACAAGTACCTCAACGGCGCCCCGATCTCGGCCTACGACTCCGCGTGGCGGGCGGCCACGAGCAGCGGGCAGGCGTGGGAGACTCGCTGGGCCTCCTTCTGGCTCCCCGCCCTCGTGTCTCGAGGCGACATCGCACCCTCTCCTTGGCTTTCAGAAAGGTTCGAGAGCGAGGAACGTGTCCAACCCGTGCAAGCTATCACTGCTCTTCAACACCGGCAGCCTAGAAGAAGCGCTGGTGCCTCATAGAGAAAATAAGGGGCGTTATAAAGGTCTTTTCTACAACGCCTCCTTCAGCTTTCCGGATTTCCTTCATCACGTTCTGTGGTCTCGAGATCACGGGCTTCTCGACAAGCACTGGACGCCCCAGACCTGCATATGCAACCCGTGTGGGGAAAAATACGACTACATCCTGCACATGGAGAACATAAGCCAGGAAGCCAGACTCGTGTTTGATGACGTAGGGATAGATCCGGCCGTAAATATCGGGCATTTCCACACGAGCACAACGAGTCTTCGGGTTTCTGACGAGGCCTATTTTGGCAGTGTTGCGAAAGAAACTGTGGCCGAGATACGACATTTGTTCAGTCAGGACTTTGATCTTTTTGGGTACACGTAATTTTTATTATAAGATCATTTGGCAAATACTCTTCATTTTTCTCTCATTTCTCTCTCCGCATAGTGATATAGAGAAGGGATCGTGCGCTGTCGTTTCGCTCCTTTTGGTATAGGAAGTCCTTGTTCCAAATATTGTTTCACTCAACAAATATCAAGATACTCACTATACATGGCATTACTGTATAGACTTGAATAGGTTGATAATTTTCCATTCTCGAAAGGACGTGAGATTTTTAGATATATATATTTTTTAATGTTTAAATCATTGGAATACTAAACTCTTGGTATAGAACCATGATCTTGATATTGATAATACTATTTGATTAAACAATTACTCACGCTTTGCTACCTTGTCATCCGCTACAAGATCATAGCTACCTACTCGCTTTAATATTAGTTAACCGTGTGTCCTCTCCTGTGTGTGATTTTATAAGTGCATCAGATATTGACCGCACCTGCTTTTGATTTTTCTGTTTGCAAATTGTAGTTGCACTATATTCTTTCTAATTCCTAAAAACTGAACGATGTGTCTTTAACTGTGTATATTCTCTCTCTATCTATCTATCTCACATATACACACACACATATTTATACATAAAGATGGAAATATTTGATAGATAACTTAATAGATGGACATATAGATCAATAGATGAATATATCAATACACAGTAGAAACAAAATACGAAAACTTCGAAGTACAAAGTTTTCGTAAAAGAAATTATTCTTCCTTATATCATATAAAAAAGGTCAATAGAAAACCATTAAACTACTTAATACGCAGTTATTTTCATATCAAAAGGAAAACGCCAAGGATGCTTCCAGTAGAATGTTAAAAGTACCTGAATAATCGTATTCTGTGACTTCGCATCGCATCCATTGTCACTTGTTTATCATTACGATTTTTGAGGTGTAGAGACGGCACCAAAATTAGTCTAGGGGTGACATTTATGAAAGAAATGAAGCAGTCGAATCAAAAGGAAGGTGCAGAAAAGAAAATTCATGAATATTAGAAGGGAGGGATTGGTGGTTTTATTGCCTAAGAATAGACGTAATCAGGAATTTAGTGAATTTAAGCTTGGTATATTTCGGCAACACACACACACACATACGTTCGTCTTCTTGCTGTTGCGTTCAACTCCCCGCCCTGACAGTGGATGGCAACCCCGGCCATTCCTCGCACACAGGGGGTAGTTTAGAAGCATAATAAACAGACAAACCACAATTTGGCTGATGTCACAAGAGCCTGTCCCACCAAACCCTAATTATTATACACATATATAAGCACAAACATTCTAAAAACTCTCTCTCTCTATCTCTCTCTCTCTCTCTCTCTCTCTCTCTCTCTCTCTCTCTCTCTCTCTCTCTCTCTCTCTCTCTCTCTCTCTCTCTCTCTCTCTCTCTCTCTCTCTCTCTCTCTCTCTCTCTCTCTCTCTCTCTCTCTCTCTCTCTCTCTCTCTCTCTCTCTCTCTCTCTCTCTCTCTCTCTCTCTTCTCTCTCTCTCTCTCTCTCTCTCTCTCTCTCTCTCTCTCTCTCTCTCTCTCTCTCTCTCTCTCTCTCTCTCTCTCTCTTTCCGCTCTCCTCTCCTCTCTCTCTCTCTCTCCCATCTCTCTCTATATATAGTTACTCTATTTTCATTTTTACTAATATTTCTACGGTTAAAATGTCGAGGTCATATTATCGTTACAGTAGTTACAGCGAGGACGACATATCAAAATCATTATTCCTCTCTCTCTCTCTCTCTCTCAGAGTTCCCAAAGGTCATGCAACATTTACTGGTCATTGCGCCGGAGGGTTAACACATTTTTTTCAGTCAGGTCGTTGGAGTTCAGAGTTTAAATAAAGGTTGACAGGAAAATATGACTTCACTTCACCTGAAGGCTTTTCTGGGACAAAACCATTGATTTCCGAGCTCTTAGGATACGGAAAAGAATTGAAGTAAAATGTAAAATGTTTATTTTCTTAGGAAAATATTTGTATACTATTTTAGTGTAAACATTTCCATTGACAACAATTGAGAGTGGCTCGCAGTTCCTAATATTTAAGATGGAATAACTTTTTTTTTTTTTTTTTTTGTCTTATGATAGTTATTGTAATTATCATCGTAATTATTATCATCATTATCGTTAATATTATTATTTGATTACTCTGTCTCCCCCCCCCCCTTCCTTTTCGAGAAATTCCTTATCTGATAATCTAACATATTCTTACACACATACCTTACATTTCGAAATAGTTATAATGAATGGGGTTAAATACAAGTATGAGGGTAATACAGACACCAAATGGAGGCGATCAGGTAACAGGTCAAGAGGTATTAGTGGAGGACATGCAGCATATGCATATCATATTAAGACTTTTTCGGGACAAAATTCATATACATTCATTTGTTATTAAGTGTGTTTATACGGAAAAGATGTACATATTCCCCTGTGACTCACCCTGTTGTCGGTGTTGCCAGTGAAGTGAACACTCACGTTACATCATTTTAATTTCAATTTTCGACTCTATCGAAAATCTTCAACATATACAAAGCATTTCATAAAGTCATTCATCTACACCGTTACTCGTAGTCGGAATCCCCTGGAGTGGAATCCCCTTGGAGTGGAATCCCCCAGTGGAATCCCCTTGGAGTGGAATCCCCTAGGAGTGGAATCCCCCCCCCTAGGAGTGGAATCCCCTTGGAGTGGAATCCCCTTGGAGTGGAATCCCCTAGGAGTGGAATCCCCTAGGAGTGGAATCCCCTAGGAGTGGAATCCCCTAGGAGTGGAATCCCCTAGGAGTGGAACCCCTGGAGTGGAATCCCCCTGGAGTGGAATCCCCTAGGAGTGGAAGGAGTGGAATCCCCTTGGAGTGGAAATCCCCTTGGAGTGGAATCCCCTGGAATCCCCTGGAGTGGAATCCCCGAGTGGAATCCCCTTGGAGTGGAATCCCCTAGGAGTGGAATCCCCTTGGGAATCCCCTTGGAGTGGAATCCCCTAGGAGTGGAATCCCCAGTGGAAGGAGTGGAATCCCCTAGGAGTGGAATCCCCTTGGAGTGGAATCCCCTAGGAGTGGAATCCCCCAGGAGTGGAATCCCCTAATCCACTTGGCTGACGTAAATGGTAGGGATTCTGGGATCGCGGACAGGGAGTCGCAGGAACCCGCTGTTGGAAAAAGGAAATAGGACTCAAAGCTATAATTATGTGTCGTCGCTTCAGTTAGTTTATCTTCGGTTCGTCTGTCTGTCTCAGTCTGTCTTTGGTTTATATGTCTTTTAGTCTATCTTTCCTTTGTTTATCAGTCTTTCTCTGTCTGTTTCTTTCTCTGTCCATCAGTCTGTCTGTCTTTCCTTCTGTCTGTCTGTCTGTCTTTCCTTCTGTCAGTCTGTCTGTCTTTCCTTCTGTCAGTCAGTCAGTCAGTCTTATATGTTTATCTGTCCGTCAATCTGTCTGTTTACATGTCTGTCCGTATATAAGTCAGTCAGGCGCCTGTCTATCTCTCATACTCTTCCTAATTTCTCTGACACAAGTAATGATCAATCGCAAATATTAGATTTCCACACTTTATTTCATGTGTTTTACAGAGATTACAGATATTAATGTAAGAGCTCTTAGTCGACAAGAGTTATATTTTAAAATCCCATACAAAATCATTATACCGGTAAAAAGATATATATATATATTGTTTTCCTCGAAATGAAAAAGCAACAAAGAACACTCAAAGAAAAAGGTAAGAAACAAACAGAAAAGACAGCAAAAACAGTAAACTAGGGGAGACAAAAAAAAAAAACAATAACAACAACAGGAAATGAATAATAAAATAATAACAGAAGAGATCATACCGATAACGATAATGATCTTAACAACACAGATAACATCAATAACAAAAAATAAATAAATAAATAAAAAACGGATGATAAAGAAAGGAACAGACGAACAACTCCAAAGTAAACCTCCAGCCGAATTACCTGGTCCTGATCTCCCGCTCCTCCAGGTGTGCGATGGTGTCCGGGAGAGGCACGTGCAGCGTCTCCGGCAGGGCGAGTGGCCAGTCCCGCGAGCACCGACGCCGCCCCGAACACTGCTGACGGCGCCCACGGGTACAAGGGGCCCTGGGGAGGAGGCGGAGGGAGGGAGGAAAAGAGAGGAGGAAGGAAGGAAGAGAGGAGGAGGAAGAAAAGAGAGGGAGGAAGGAAAAGAGAAGGAGGAAGGAGGAGGGAAGGAAGGAAGAGAGAGGAGGTAGGAAGGAACAGGGAAGGAATGAGGTATGAGGAGGGAGAGAGAGTTATAAAAATCATAGAGATTTAAACAAAAAGCAAGAAGACTGTCATATCTTGCTGTCATGCAGAGTGATTGGTAAAAATCTAAAACACATCCAAGCTCATTCAAACTACTTACATAATATTCCCTTCCCATAAAAAATAATAATAACATTCACCATGATTTATCCTGTTAAAAATAAAGAAAATAAAAAAAAAAGAAGAAGAAAAAAAAACTTACCAAGTAGTCCGTGATGAAAGGCGAACAAGTAGACCCCACCCTTGACATGACAAGGGCTGTGCTCATGCCCCTCGTCCTAACCTCGGTGGGAAAGAGCTCTGAGGAGTAAAAGTCGAGGATCTGGAAGGCCGAAGCGATACTCATCTTCCCCATAAGCGCTAAGGTCATCGATTCCCCACTACCTGAGAGGAAAATTAAATATTATTTTAGTTCCCCTTATAATTTTTAAAATAACGTTTTCTATGATATTATGTTGAAGGGTAATCTATGCTAAATGTTTTACTTTCCTGTTTTGATTGTCAGGGAAACTTCTTGGTATTGACTGAAGACATGTTTGTAGACAGTAAATTCCTAATTTTGTTTGGCATAAGAAACACGAACAAAAAAGAACAAGATGAGGACGAACGAAATAATTTTTCTCAGATTTTTCCATTATGAAACCTATACATATTTCATGAAACAAAACCTCCACCCCAGACAACCTCACTCACCCGTGGGCACGAAGGGCAGTGCGAGAAGAGCCACGGCGCCCATGAAGAAGAAGGCGACAACGGGAGCCCTCCTGCCGTAGCGAGCCACCAGGGGGATGACCAGCGTGTAGGCCGGCAGCTCCACGACCCCCGTCAGCACCATGTACAGGAACGGGTCGGAGCTCAGGTCGCCGCCGCTGAGCGAGAGGCCGAAGTACACAGCACCCACCAGTAGGTAGTTGGTGTACAGGCTGAGGGTGATGGTGCGAAGGCGGGGGGTTCTGTTGGGTGAGGGGGCGAGGGTGTGAGGGGGTGTGGGGGAGTGGTGGAGAAGCAAAATGAGTATCGTCTTTGTAGGAGGATATATTGTCTTTACTATCATTGTCATCTTCGTTAATTTTATCACTATTACTAATACCATTCATATTGCTCTTATAATCAAATAATTCTGTGGGTTTGAGACTACATCCTCTGCACGCTTTCAGTAACCGACATAGCGAAATATGTCAGAGAAATTGCAATATTTCCACGAAATCAAAATATACAGACAAGATATACAAGATTTTTCATTCATATAAAGAATCGTATGATATATTTCAGCAATGTATAAGGAAAGTTTGGCAGAAGGAAGAGGAGGAGGAGGAGGAGGACGATGAGGAAGAATGAAGAAGGATAAGGAGGAGGAGGAGGAATAGAAAAGAGAATAGGAGGAGAGGAAGGGGAGGGAGGAAGAGGGAAAAGTGGACCTG